TGCTCGAGCGGCAAATGCCTGGAGTACCCTTGGTCTCCACCTTGTGAAAATTGTTGAAAAATTGTGCAAATCCCAGCTCTGAGAGTCAGGCTGGTCCTGCTGCTGCCGCTCTGTTGCCTTCACCACCTTGTCCAGTCTCATCTTGGTTGCTCCTGTGGCAGTTGTTGGCTCAGCTCAGGCACCAGGACAAAGAGAGCTACACCGTTGTGCTTTGTGTTGTGTAGAGAGTCTTCCCATGCTCATGTCCCTGTCTCTTAAAGGGTTTCGTGACAGCAGTGGAGATAAGGGTGCAGTCTGTAATTAAAAGAAAACTATCTGTTCCCCTTGTTGCTTCCTACCCGTTATCCATCAGTGTGCCAGTGTTTGCCAGCTAGGGCACTGGTGCCATCGGTGCTGGCAGTGTATCTGAAAGTCAGTAGCTCTTTTTGTAATTGTAGTCTCTTTCCCACAAGAGAAAACATGGTCGGCATGCAGGGGAGAAGGTGTGTTGATCCCAACAGTTGTTTTTCATCATCCCTCAAGAGGCAGTCAGTACTTAAACACTTTTTTTTTAAGGCTTTTTTTTTTTTTTTTTTTAAGGTATTTGGGGGTTGTTTAAAATGTTTGACAGAGGTGATTTTCAAGGAGAAAAGGAGAGTGTGTGTGTGTTGGTTGGTAAGGGGGGCTTTGTCTGTATTTACCTTATCTGGGATTATTGTGGACCAGATAATTCATGAAGTAGCATACTTATCTGGTTCCCTCTTAACTCTTGTATTCCCTCTTCACTTGGAACATAACAGGTCATTAATCTTGGAAACTTACTGGCACAGAATGTTATGATATCAAGTATTAACATGATTTCAGAAAGCAGCTGTAATCTGTGAGGGCATGTGGAAGGTGGTGAGAGCATTCTTCATTATGAGCCTCCAGTAGTGGACCTTTTCAATGCTAAGGGAATAATAAGTGAAGGGGGAAGCGGTGAACAAAAACACAGAGAGGAACAGAGCTGGTGGACAAGGGATAACAGAGACAGTGACAAAGACAAAAAGTCTTCAGTCACTAAGTAATGGGCCATTAAGAAACTACTGGTATTGCTTTGGGAAGGCCAGCCTGGACTTTGTAACTGATAAGAAGGGGAAACAAGATGAACATGAGGATTTTGGGATATGGGGGGACCTGCGGACTGTGCGAAACTTACTGAACAATGTATAGGGGGCATAGATGGGAGCAGGTATCGGAGGGGCCAGTCCCAACCAGTGTCAGTCAGTACACTTATCTGACCAAGCCCTGAGTCTGATTGCCACAATCTGTCATCGTTTTATAAATCTTTTCTTAACTCTCTGTGTAATCTCTATCCTGTGTGTGCGAGTGCTGTAAGGACTAGGTGCCAGCTACTGAGGGGACTGGCATGAGTGGATACAGGGCCAGCAACTGGAGTCAGACCAGGGGTGTAGGTGTCCCGAGCCTGTGGTGTCAGCAGCAGGAGCAGGTGAGGGTCACGGCACCAGCCACGGGCGCAGGAGCAGCACGTGTCCCAGCTGGGAGGACAGGGACAGTGTGTGTCCTGGGCACAGCTATGGGTGAGACTGGGGCAAGTGAAGCAAGTGAGGCTCTCGGCGCAGCATCTGGACTGGGACCGCAGGTCGCCCGTGTGCCTGGTGCCTGCTGCTGACAGAGGCAGGCAGAGTGTCTGCATTTTCATGTGGTTTGACCCCACGTGTGTGTGTCTGTCGTGTAATTCAGTAGCAAACTCCAAGTTGGACTAGCAGTGAGTGGGAGGCACTGGGTGTGGGCAGGGTATCAGGTGGGTAGAGGGCCTGTGCTGGTGTTCAGGAGGGAACTGGGAGTGTGGGGTGCCTGTAAGACAAGAGCGTGAGTGCGTGCATCTGCCTGCTAGTGACTTGCTGCAAGTAGGAGGCCCACGAGATGGATAAAAGGGTTCTGGACCCAGGCAGAGGGGTAATGAGCAGAGGGATACGCTGTGCTGGTATTTGAGGGATCCATGAATGTGCATGTACTCACGAATCTAGACAGGGTGGGAGGTTGCATACTCTCAATAGTGAGCTTCAATCCTGACCAGACGAAAAGGAAGAAGAGGTCTTGGCTGGCTGTACTCATGTGAGTCCTGGGAGTGTTACATGTGGGTGCTGTAGAAGGCAGTGCCTTGTCTGTGGCAGCTAGCTGTGTAGCTGAGCTTCACTACTGGTTGAACCTGCCGATGAGAAAGCAACTGCCATATCTATGGACCTGGGATGGGGACCTCCAGGTCTCTGGATGGACTGGGCTGGGCTCCAGCAGCAGGGCAGGAGGAATCCCTGGACTGGTCCCGGAGATGCTGGAGGTGGCAGCCACTTACAACATCCCTTAACATAATTGGTGAAGGAAGATTTCATAACAGATATTCAATACAAAGGTTCTCTTTGTGAGTCAGGAGTTCTTGAGCTATGCGCATCTCAAAGTTGAGGAAACTGCTGGGAGGAATATCACTATATCCTTTTTCTATTTTCTTGTCTGCTGCTGACCATTAATAGACACAGAAGAAAGGAAGAAAGGTCTATTAATTCCAATAACTTGACTTATATTGCTGCTTTTACAAAACCAGGATGCTACTGAAGACAATATAAGTCAAAAATGCTTGTTTTGCCTTAAATCTAAGAGAATTGAAGGACATGCTTTATAAATTTGGGGTTTTAAGCCTTAACAGAAGGTTCTTGGCCTCATTCTGTATACTAAGCATTTCAGTGAAGCTCCATTCATGACTTCACATTCCAAACTGTAATTCTTTCTCCATTATTAAGCATGATTCTGCAATGTTAAGGGAATTCTGCAATATTGTCATATAAAAATTAAGCCTTTAACATTCTAGTGTAGGGATTGCTGAAGTTTACCTGCCTCCCCTCTGAACCAGGTTGCTGCATTTAAACCCTAAAGATACAGGAAATAGGCGGGGGGGGGGGGGAAAATAATCTAAATTTTTTTTTTTTTTTTTTTTTTTTGAATAAAGCAACAGCTTGCTTTAATGAATAGTATTGGGTTCCAGAGCTTCATTCATAGCCCCCAACCAACTATGTGACAGTAAGCATGTCACTTAACTGCCGTGTCCTACTTTCACCATCTGTGAAACGCTTTGGAAAGTCATGGAAAACTGAATCACAGGTCTTTTCCGTCTCTAGATTCTATTAGGTCATCCAACTGTCCATCTGCCAGTAGAAGATTGTTTCCTACATCCACCAGTGTTTTTCCAGTCTGGATTCTGTCCTCCAAGTGATTGGGCTTCCACCAGTACCTTTGGGAGATGATT